ACACAAACGATTATTACATAAATTTAACATTTAAGAGAATTAAACAAGTAATGATTTGTCAAAGTTCTTTTTGAACAGAAAGCAGCGTCTCTGCTCCCACGTCAATCGTCTATCATCTCAAAACGGTAATTCCCCTAATTTTTGCTTGGCGCCTTCGGAGCTCGTAGAGAGAATGACGTCACGGCATCTGGTTTTCATCACAGCTCCAAGCGATCGGCACTACATATATATATACACATATATATAGTTTTTCGTTTTGAAAATGGTTTTGGAAAGGAATTGTTTTTCTTATTTTTTTTTCTGTGTAATTTAGGACTGTTTTATGCAGTTCCTCCCTTTTCGTGTGAAATATGTAATTTTTATTCCTTTTAGTATCAAATGTATCATTTTTCTTTCCTTTTCGTGCGAAATATATCATTTTCCATTAAGCGGAGATGTTTATTCTTAAATGATAATGAATTTTTTTAGATACCAATTTTGTCTGCTAATAATTTAAAAAGATCATGTACGTCAAACACATGTTAAAGGCATTTCACTGAATACTTTTGATTAATTAAAAACTTTAAATTCGAAAAGACTTCGTTTGACTTAAAATTTAAACCTTGAACAGTTGTTAGAATCATAAATATAAATCAAAATAAAAGGGAAATTAAAGTCCTATTAAGAGTAAAGAAACTTTCCAACAGATACTGTAAATGTCTGTTAAAATATTTGTAATATCATATTTTTACATTAATGAATTCTTCATTCTAAACATAAAAAAATACTAAATTTGAGAACTGTGAGATTTATAGTTAGAAGCAACTCCTCACTAATACAAATAAGAACGCATTTCATTTTTATTTAGTCTTTGAATGGTTAAAAAAACAGCTGTAATAAAAATTGACCACACAATTTATAAATGAAAAAAATGGTAGATTTCGAAACTAAAGTAATACAAAAAAAAAAAGGTTTTTCTATTTGTGCAGCGTCAAATGGTTTCCTTTCCGTTAGCAGTATGTTCTTAATAATGCCAATTATTACTCTGCTATTACAAATAAGGAAGTCGTTTACGTAAAAATTAAAATAACTTGAACATTATCGAGATAAATATAGTATTCACTTAGAAACATATTGTTTTGGAAATGTGTTTTTATGAAGAGTGTTGCCAAAAACAGCCTTAATGCATAAATGTATTATATTTAAAAAGTTTTTGTATGAAACAAATGGCCTAAATTGCGTTATTAAAAATGTTTATGTTCGAAATGAAAAGAAAGCATCAAATTATTTCCTTCTGCTCTAAAATTGGTTTTCAATTTCAACAGAGGTAAATAACCTTTCTATCATCATCATTTATATTATTCTATGAAAATTATGCTCACAATCAAAGCACAGAAGTATTAATATGAATAACCAAGCATTACGGTTACTTTTTTTAAATACCTGGAATAACTCGAATTAAACTATGTTATTAAGTTGTCTGATATAAGCTATTATTGAAACTCTATGCCATACATCAAGATAACTTAATAAAAGTTTTAGTTTTTGTAAGCAGGAATATTTCAACCCGAGGACACTCGAATTTATTTTGTGACATAAAATGAAATTAATTAAAAAGATGTTTCAGTTGATTGTAATGTAAACTCAATCTTGAATAATTTGTTCGATGAAATCTGTTTTATATATGATAGCTAAAAATATATGAACTCAGAAATTACTACTTTCTATCAAAGGAATGAGATTATTAATTAGTTTAAGAATTTCTTTACCTAGTTTGAACTCAGCTCATGTGCAAGGAAAAGATCCCGTATTAATTTTGCGAAATGAATTATAGTTTAAGCAGCTGTAACTTCTAGTTTATTCCGTTGTTAATGCGTTTTCTGTTTGCCTACGAGCTAATTTTTGTGAGTTATCATTCGTTTATTTTTTACATGTTCCTAGCTAAGGCAGTGTACGGAAGGAAAAGATGCCTTCGTAGAGGAAAGTGAGGGAAGCTGGCTCCTATTAACACGTTGCACAGAGGAAACCACGAAAACGCCCATGCTGCCAGCCCGTTCGCGGAATTCGAACCTCGGACCGAACTACCAGTGTTCAGGGACATTAACCGCTCGGCCGCAGATGGGCCGTTATCATTCGATTGATCACCGATTAGTTTTAAAATAAAGAAATTTTAATTTAGGTTCGACTGTAATTTTGTGAAGTTATTAGTCCAAAGGGGCTTTGTCACTGAAGGACTATTGTTCTCGTTTTGCGATTTTGCGTTGTTTCACTATAAATGTCCGTTTCACTTTTCAAATTGTTGCCATCAAATGTTAGAGTCCTGCATTATATTTGAAGAAATTAAATAATGAAAAATCTGCATAAATGTATGTATGTTTCTCGCATTGTGATAAAACAACGACTCCTAGAGACTCATCGAATTTTGAAATGAACGTAATCCTCCTACGAATATGGGCATGTGGAAGCCCAAATCTGAAATTTGGAATTTGTTTTATGATCTATTTCATATTTTGTAAAGCTTTAACGAATTCTTGATTAACAAACTCGAACGATTTCAAAGCGAGCAATGGCAACACTGTGTGGACGGAAAAAAAAAAAATTTATCTCCATCACGTGCGAGACTATGTATCGAAAATTCTAAAAATATGCTCATTTTAAAATTATTTTGTGATATTGCTGTTGTTGAACTGAATTTTATCGTTTAAGTGAGAAGAACATGTTATTTAATAAATAAAGGTAACACACAAAACCTTAAAAAAAAAAAAAAAAAAAAAAAACTTTGGGCGTAATCTAAAATCTGAAAACTTTCAGATTTTCTTTAAAACCTTAAATCATCAAATAAAATCAAAAGGTTCAATATATTATTACATCGTCCGTACTGTAAAGTGTATAGAGTAAGACAGTTTATTTCGTTATCGTACCTAACGCGTATATAGTAAGAGGGTTATTGCATTACCAAGAATCTTTCTTATAAAAGTTTTGTGTTAGACGCATCAAATGAAAATGTCGAATACTGCAGGTGGTAATTAACAACAAAATGTCGCCCTTCAGTGCCAAGAATAATGTAGAATTTTATTTTAATCGAATTAATTTTCAGTATAATAGTCATTTCCTTTAATGGGATGATAAAAAATTTGAACTTTATTTGTAAAAAATCTAGTGCGGACACCACATGACTTCCTTGTGCGGTAATTAACATAATTTTTGCAATTTTTAAAATTATATACAATTTTTGCTGCACTTCATTTAAAGTTATTTTCTGGAATTAGTCTAACGTCGTTAACCGTTCGCTCAAAGCAAGTTGAAGTGACATCAAAGATTGCAAATTTTGAAATTAAATATCCAGGTCAATTTTTGTCGTACTGGAGTAAATTTCATATAATTTTATTTTTTCATAACGAGTATGAGACTTTCCCAAATATAAGTATAGGAACTAAGAGATCGCACTAAGATTAGTTTTCGTTATTTGTCGAAAATTATTTTTTTTAATTTGACATTGCCAAAACATGAATGTTTTAGTCATTTAAAACACTTCTGTAATGGTCGTTGTCATATAGTCATCACACAAGGTTTGATAACTATATGACTACGACCAACGATTGCGAATGGAAAGGCCGGGTAAAGGAGTAGGTAGGTAGATATACATATACGTATATGTTTTGCTGCTGCCTATTGCAGTAAAAAAGAAAGAAAAGAGAGGTGGCCAACTAGATGTTACAGCAGCTCCATATACAAAATTTTAACGGTCTACGGTATATCGTATTTGAGTTACGCGACATGCATACGTACATACGCACGTACGTACAGACGTCAAAAAAGAAAAATCCCTTTTGAATGCATTTAAACCAATTTTACACTCTGTTTTGAACACAGAACCCTTTATTCTGTCTGTATGTACAGATATCACACAAAAAGAATCGTCCGCATGGATTTGGGAACGTCAAAATAGATATTTTATTTGAAATATGATACTCGAAATTTTTCACAATTACAATACTTCCTTTACGTAGTAAAAATATTTCAGCTCTGTTATTCCATAAATAAAATTAAAATAATTTTATTGGGATAAAAAAGTCAGATTGTAATCAGCTGATGATCGTTGTATTTATGTAATTTCAAAACGACGCATTTAAAACCGATGGTATAATGTGGTAATATAATAAAATAAGTCACGCTACATATGCAGTTAATTGTACTAATACTGAAAGATCGTCTGTTGATCATAATCTGATTTTTTTTATCCTAATAAACATACTTTTATTTTAAACGACCGGTTTAACATCGTACTCGCGTTGCCACCAGTAAAAGGCGGAATTTGTCAGTTATCTTATCCCTTTAATTTTATAGAAACAAAGTTACTACATATGAAGTTAAAAGAAGGAAGTTCTTTCAGAATAAGTCATGCAATCTACAGCTACTATAAATAGACTGATACGCAGTTGCATGGACCTCCGACCTAAGGTTCTACACCAATCAGAGTTATATGTCCATGCGATGGAAAAGAATCTACAGTCCACCGCCAGCGGCATTCACTGAATCAATGATAGTAATATTACAATGCTAAATTGATAGTGTCATCTATACAATAATTGTTACTCTCGCTGAAAACTTGAATGAATGTGGCTGCTATATTATGATAAACATGAGCAAGTTGTAAATGAAAGTTTCTATCATATGGATGGCTGTTATAGCGGACGTAAGGAATCTGGCTTAACCATCTGAACACACCTCTGAACAAAGACTCAAAATTAGGATCGTATTAGTTTAAATGCTTAGGATGGAACAGCAAAGCTGAAATATTTACTAGCATAGAACAACAAGGGCAAAATATTTATTTTACTTTATATTTACACGTCTTAATTCCACTCAGTTCTTTAGCAACATATCAGTATTTTTATTTCCCAGAAATAAATTTTCTTGGCCAAAAGGACTGGATAGATGAAAGATGAATGGCACTTTCATTTGCGTCTCTAGTGTTTAAGTGATATTAACTATTATCTGATTTCTTTCTCTTGTTCCAGAAGCTGAGCCTGAGCCTCCTCCAGATGAGGATCGGCGCAACAAGTCATGCATCTTCTATAACACGGAGCCTAATTTGGTGGCGTTCCTTGGAGACCAGATGATTGAGGAGGAGGAAACAGAACATCCTCCACACACAGAACTTGTTTTCCGCTGTAAGGATATCGGAAAGTACAGCTTGATCGGAAGTGTGAGAAGGAGATGTGTGCATGGCGATTGGGATGGCGTGAAACCTTCCTGCTATGGACTGTCGCAGGAAAATGATTATGCATGTAAGCGTTTCACACATTATTTCTTAAAGAATTTCTTAAAGACTTGCGTAGACATTGACTCGCATAGAAATGTATAAAATATATCGTACAACTTTTCATCTTTTGTTGAGAAGTAATAATTATATGTAATTTATGTAAAGTTAGGCTAAACATATTACAACTGAAAAGAGAAGTATCCCCATCTATTCTATGTTTTGAACTGATGGTATATTATCCGTTAATTTAGATTATAATTCTTATTTCTAGTAAATATTCATGTAAATGATGTTTAGGAAAAAAATTAGAAAACGAGATCATTTCTAAATTTTGAAATTGTTCAAAAACACATATATCTCCGCTCAGAGCGGAATCAAAGATCATCTTGTGTTGTGGAAGTATTTTTGAAAATAAGATGAATAATGTTCGATATTCATACGCGTTTCTGCACGCGCCCTTGGTAAGCACCACTCATTTCATCTACCTTGTTGGTACTACTATTTGCCTACTTGTATTTTTCTTTCCTTTTGAAACAAGAGCTTCAACTCTAATCTGTAATGCCGGATTACGTCTATTGTGCAGATTTAAACGAACTACGTTTTAAACCAAAGACGATTATCTTTTACTCCTAAATTTATATATTTTGATATTTTCTTTCCGAATTAGCACTAAAATATCACCAATTTCTTTTGCAACATAGCATCGCTGAGATTCAAAATCATAAAAAATTCTCAGCTCCTGTTTTTCACTATTAACTCCTTTTTTTTTCTTTTAAGGCGCCACCACTGGAAGAGCAGTTAAATACTGCTAAATACTGGTAAATAATTCCGGGTTCGAATCTAGGCAATCGGACTGGCTGCATTGATCGGTTTCCGTAGTTTTCTCCATGCTAGCATGAATACGAGTCGGTTTTCCTTATAAACGCAAAGTTCTCCACAAAGTGAACCCTCCACTTAGGCCCTTAGGAGATAGATAGCCTTTGTGTGCTTTGCTATGTTCAAATAGCCTTTGAATTTTAAAACAGCATTATTAGTTTGAAGTAAAATATTCTCTTTCCATGAATGAATAATTTAAATTAAAAACTAAATCTGATATATTTTCAGGTTGAGATATGGACTCACTCTTCTTAGCTGCCTTATCATAAATTAAATAAGTATGAAACTGGTTATATAATCAGATGTTTCTGCAACAACACAGTATGGTGATATGCCTATGTCTCAAACACCGAAACGTATTCCTTGCCTTTTGCCGTTTTCTGTACTATATATTTTCATGTTACAAAAGATAAGTCTTCTCACGGTTTGTTAATGCATATACACTTGCAATATTTCTTTTCGAAGGCGGATTCTCGCTTAACGGTTTTCTACCTACCCCACTATTAGTGTTTCTATAAGCAGAATTAACTAACAAGTTCTATGTTTCTCTACATTAGACTTTTTCTAATTAACCTTAAAAGTTCATTTATGGGAACTTCTGAAGTTAATTGAAATTGGCTATTTTACTTGAAATTCAGCTCTTCAGACAATCTTTATAAAATTGAGGAACATAATACATTGAACCTACTGTGACATTAAAAGGTTGTAAACTTCGTAATTGCGCTAAGCGTTTGCCATGTAACTTTCTTAACATTATGGCAGTTTCTTACTAGCTCAATGGCTAACAATTTATTTAAATGAGAAATAATGCTCAAGTCATTTTCAGTCAGACGCTCAAACTGCTCTTTAAGCAATGGTATGCTACAGTTATGGTTCTCATTAACTCGATGGAAATCTTACAAATTGCTCATGATAAGTAATATTTTAAGTAACTCTATTTCTCAACCTTCGTCAAGGTTTCATTGCCATGGTTTGCTTCTTCAAACTTACTCCAAAAACCTATCCGCGCTCTATGTTCACTATAAAATTTATATATTATTTTTTATTTAGGCAGTTTAGTAGTATGTCTAATATTCATGTAATTTTGACTTATTAAATAAAATACAAAATGTCTTAAATTACATTTTGTTAAGTACTAAAGTTCTGCCCAGCATAATTTTAAATTTCTTTCGAGACTTACATATATTCGCCACCTTAGTAGAATTTGCCAAACTCTGGAAATTATGCGCATAACAGTTTTTAGGAAACCGTATGCATTGAAACTTGCAATCCGAAAATTCAAGGCATCACCTTTATTTCTGTACAAAATCGCCCAACTGCGCCCAAGGTGGTTGCGCTAATACGTGAGTACGTTTCTGTCTGCCTGGACATTTTTGGATTCACCTTAATAGTCTTGACTACGAATAATTTTCTGTTCTAATGCATTTAAATCTATCCGATTCTCAATTTCATTTCACTGCCTAAAACTTTTAATTAATTGACATTTTCTTTTAGTTAAAACCATATAATTTCTCAACTTTTACAATTCGAGTAAATGTATCAATTAAAAGCTAGTTAAACGTTTTCTATTTTTGAAATTAGCTTAGTTGTTAATAATAACTGCCTGTTCATTCGTTCAAACGAAAGAGATTTTTTACCTAACTCTGCCACTTTCTCTACAAAGCAAATAGTCTACCCGAGCAGTTTTTTTAAATAGTATGTTGTTTGGAGTTTGAAAGTGTTCGAATGCCTTTCACTTGTAAAAAATAAAAGAGTTGGCTACTTATAGTTTTCACTGCTTCCCAAAGCGTACATCTCATCTTTCTGGTCACCGGCACTGTTGTAATGATTCAATATAATATACCTGATTCAAATAAACCACGCCTTTGTCAAGTAAAAAAATGCTTTATTTTCAATGTCGAATAGCTTCCTTCTTATGCAAAAGCATCACCCTCTTGGGCGATACTGATTAATAAAAATGAAGGTAATCACAAACCAAAGCAACGCATTATGAAATAGAATCTAAGAAGTAGCTATAGGTAAAAAGCATAACCATTTTAAGTCTTTCAAGTGCACATAGCGCATTTTTCCGCTGTGTTATTTGGCGAAGCTATTTACGTAAATATATGGAATGGGACTATTCGCCGTGGCCATTTCGCCGCGACCGTTTCGACGTCAAGACATATTTTTCTTTTCACGACTGTATTATATCTTGCCGTATTATATTAAATTGATTTAAATTAATAACTCTGTTTATTTTAATAACTTAATTTAATAAACATTTTATTTAAAATAATATATAAAATGTTTTTGTACAGTTTTATACAAATACACCGTTACACATGACATATTAATTTTATAAGAGTAAGATGCTGACAAGATTCCAAACTAATTCCGTTTTCCATTTAGATTTCATAAAAATGTGAATTTCTCGCTCGTATGAGTGATTTCTCTGAACTATCCGATTAAAATTTCAAGAAATTCTGAAGAATCATGTAAATATTGTACCCGCATAATTTTAAAATCGATAAAACTTCTGTTATATCAGAAGTTTAGGTCCCATTGTCTTTTACTGACATAATTTTCCAACTAACTATGTGTAATTTCTTTATATCTCATACTTGTAAATAACTATATATATTAAAAGCAACTTTTATTAAGTATACAAAAGGTAAACAGAATTATTAAATTCAATAAATTTAATACGAATGTAATACGGCACGATAAAACACAGTCATGTAAAGGTAAATGTGTTTTGACGGCGAAACATTCCGACGGTGAAACGGCCACGGTAAAATGGGCACGGCGAAAAGTACTAGACCCTAAATATACCGTTACAGCAATAAATAAACCATGCACAAAGTTAAACCTTTAACAAGATTTTACAGGATCAACAAGACTTACGTTCCTAACAATGTGTGCACAATTTTCTTTCGGACGCTTTTATATTTTGTTGCTTATTCTGGCATGCAGCGGGAGATGTGCTACTCCTGCTCTTTCCAGATTCTTTAATGAGCCCCTCAGGGTCCTCGCGTATGTAATAGTCCAAAGATGGAATTTCCGCAGTTGGAGGTAGACCTGTAACTTGACTTGTGTAGAATGGAAAGTGAGTGACAGCGCGCTATTACTCTGCATTAAATGAAAGTATGTCTGGAACAACAAAAGGATAATAAGAAGAATCGAGATGGTAGAATGGGATATTTCACAAAGCCGCCATCAGTCGGCGAAGAAAGATGTAATGAATGAAAATAGACAAGCAATGTGAAGAAAAGTTGGATCAGTATTTCAAATAATTAACAAAATGTTAGGTAAGAAATATCCGAAGGATATTTGTGTTTTTCTCTAGGAAAAGGTGAGCATCTCAAAGATGATACAGCTGTTTGGATGTAATAGTACAGAAAGGAAAAAAAATTGTTGCAAGTCTTTTGATATAATTTTGTATAGTATCAATTGGAAGATCTCTGTGAATATATGAATTTGGAATGAACCAGGGTGCATTAATAAGTTCACGAAGGGTTTTATTTTGAATAACTTGGATCTTTTTTATGTGGGTTTTAGCGGCGTGTCCCCATACCGGACCGGCGTAAAGTAAAGTAGGTCTAAAGATGGACTTGTATAAAACAAGTTTATTTTTGATAGTCAGATTACTATGTCTGTCGAGGAGAGGACGCATAGTAGCTATTGAGATATTAATTTCCTGACAGTTTCGTGTAAATGTTGCCGAAAAGTGAGTTTTTTGTCAAGTGTGACTCCGAGATACTTCACTTGATCCGTCCACTGAATATCGTCGTCAAATAAGATGGGATTGGACGGAATGAAGTGGTAGACCTGTAAGGAAAAAGAGAGAAAAGAAGCTCTAAGCTTCGATGATAAGCAAGCCGTGTCTGGACATCACACCACCGACGGTATAGAGCAGCTGCAAAAGGACGTAGGCGAGGAAAAGCTGGCTAGAATCACGTGATGGAGTTTGACGAATCCGAAACGTAGAGAGCTTGCAAACTACTATATGAAAATAATATACATGTGCAGAACAGTGAAAGAAGATTCCTATGGGCAATATAAAATAACAGTCTGCTCCTGTAAACAGCAAAATTAAATAGTCATTATTTCTTGAGTAAATAAACAAAAAGAGCAATGCGAAAAGTCCTATGTACAGCAATAACACGAATT